ACTGTGCACATCTCCTTGCCTGTATTGCCATGTCCTTGCCTGTTTTTGGACCCAGCTGAGAGCTCATCTGCCTCCTCAGCCTCTGTAGGTTAATTTGCTGTGCCTTCTGACTGCTCTGGTTTCCCCCCAGCCTTGCTTGGCAAATGCTTAGTTTAATTAGATCTTCCAAACGACTCCATCCCAAGGTGGCTGTAACAACATGGATCATTTTCCGTGCCTAGTCACAGCAAACTCTGTCCTCCTGACACTGCTTTGTGCCTTTCGGAGCAGTCTGTGGCCAAGTGTCTCCAATGGGCACGGCGGTGAGAAAAATGGGCAGCTCTTCCACCCTGTCCTCCCCGTCGCGTCTCCATGGTGTGATGTTGGTGTAACCCAGGTGACAGATGGACAGACTGAGGAGCAGAGAGGTGATTTGTCTGTGGCTGGTGGAAGATTTTGAGTTGCAAACCCGGTTTGCTGAGTTCCAGTGAGCCTGATTTTCCCAGCCCCCTTGTGGAATGGATGTTCTCAGTTAACCACCATGGCAGGAGCAGGAAACAGGGCTGAGGGACATTGCTTGGCTTGTCCAAAGCCGTGGGATGATGGGGGACTGTCTCCCCACAAAAGGGAGCACTTCTTACAGGACCCCATGTAAACGTGGAGGGGTGGCAGAGGGGAATGCTGGTGAAGGCACCCTCTAGCAGGGATGGACATCTTGCAGATGGGACCCACGCACATGAGGAGCAGGAGGGATTTAGCTATTCCTGCTCTGTTCCCAGGTGCTTGAGAGCTTTAATTCTCACCGAGTGGTGAGGCTGAGGGCTGTCACAGGCTCAGCGCGCCGCGTTTGCCTCTGGGTGAGGATGGGAGTGCTCTGACCCATGAAGCAGAGGCACCAGCACGTGGTCTCCACAGCACCCCATACCCGAGCCAGGTTGCCAGCGTTTGTGACAGTCCATTTATGAACAATTTGCATCGTCAGAGCTATTGAGAAAAGCTAGTGGACTGTGCTGAATAATGAATTCATTTAAAAGTTTCATGATGTTTTCTCTGACCGTTTGCCAGCTGGAAGAAAAGAAGGGGGGGAAAAAAAAAACAAACCACCAAAAGCTAAATTAATCGAATGCCCAAATCTCTGCAAATGATGTACTTGGCATTTATAAATGCGTAGGTAACTATGCTTGTGAATACAAAACAAGTGTCCAGGTAGTCGGAGCTGGGTGTCACAAGAAAAAGAAGTAGAAAAGGGGAGAAGAGCCCAGGAAGGAGGAGATGGTGAATAGCAAGGTAGCTCTTGAGATTTTTTTTTTTTTTTAATTTTTGTTTTTTTTTCTCTGCAGACAGCAAAGCAGCTGCCGTTGTGTGGTTATTCCAGCTAACTCCCTTTTCAATTGACCTTGGCCAAGTTTCTTATCCCCTCCCTGGGGTTCAGTTTCATGTATTTCAAGCTCCAAGGCCCAGTACATTACAGATGATGAGAGTCTCCAACAGTATGGGGATAGGACGTTGTGAGTAAAGCCAAGGAGGGAAGGCAGGAGCAAGGGAGATAATAAACAATAGAGGCATTCTTTAAAAAAACTCCACAATTTCTTCTTTTCTCTCTTTCCATCCCATGCTAGTCTGGATTTAGGAAGGGAACCCAACTTGTTGCCCAGCTCTAGCTACCCAGCTCCTCCAGAGGGAGAGCCCAGGGATTTTCCTAAGGCTGTAGCAGTCACTGGAGGGGAAGGAGCAGCATGGGCAGGTTCCAACACCTGGAGCCAGGCTGGGTGCTGGGGCTCTTGACAGCAATGGGTAGCAGTGCCTCCCCATGGTGGGTGCCTATAGAAGAGCTGGGGAGGGACTCTTTGCCAGGAAGGGTAATGATAGGACAAGGGGAAACGGTTTTAAATTGAAAGAAAAAAGATTCAGATTAGATCTCAGGAAGAAATTTTTTACTCTGAGGGTGGTGAGACACTGGAACAGGTTGCCCAGGGAAGCTGTGGCTGCCCCATCCCTGGAGGGGTTCAAGGCCAGGCTGGATGTGGCCTTGAGCAACCTGCTCTGGTGGGAGGTGTCCCTGCCCAGGGCAGGGGGGTTGGAACTCGATGATCTTTGAGGTCCCTTCCAACCCAAACCCAAATCTTCCTCCCCAGGCGGAGGAGATGCGGGCGCAGCTGCGGCTGGTGGCGGAGGCGCGGGCGGCGGGACGGCGGGAGCTGCTGGAGGCCCAGCGGGAGGCCCGGGAGAGCCGGGAAGGCCGGGAAGCGCAGCGGCGGGAGGCGCAGGAGGCACGTCGGGCCTTGGGAGACGAGGCCAGGGAGAAGGAAGCCCTGCGGCGCTCCAACGAGGAGCTGCGGGCGGCCCTGCGGCGCGCTGAGGGAGAGCGCATCAGGTGAGGGTCGGGGCTGGGGGATGTGCTGGGCAAAGGGGATGCCCAAGTTGGGACTTATGTGGGGTGATGTAGCGCCTCGGAGGGTGATGCTCGGGGTCGGGGTGGTGCTTGGGGTCAGGGTGATGCTCAGGTTGGGCTCACATGGGGTGATGGAGCACCTTGAAGGGCAGTGCTCGGGGTCTAGGGCGATGCTTGAGGTCAGGTTGATGTTTGGGACAAGGGGATGCTCAAGTTGGGCTCACATGGGGTGATGCTCGGGGTTGGGGTGGTGCTTGGGGTCAGGGTGATGCTCAGGACAAGGGGATGCTCAGGTTGGGCTCACATGGGGTGATGGAGCATCTTGAAGGGCAGTTCTCAGGGTTGGGGATGGTGCTTGGGGTCAGGGTAATGTTTGGGACAAGAGGATGCCCACGTTGGGCTCACATGGGGTGATGCAGCATCTTGGAGGGGGATGGGGGATGCTCAGGGCTTGATGGGGATGCTTGGGACAAGGAGAACCCCAAGTTGGAAGAGGCAGGGGATTGTGCAATGCCGGGAGGGTGATGCTTGGGACAAAGGTGATGCTTGGGACAAGGGGATGGCCAAGTTAGGACTTATATGGGATGATGGAGCACCTTGAAGGGTGATGCTTGGGGTCAGGGTGATGCTCAGGACAAGGGGATGCTCAAGTTGGGCTCACATGGGGTGATGGAGCATCTTGAAGGGCAGTTCTCGGGGTTGGGGAAGGTGCTTGGGGTCAGGGTGATGCTTGGGTCAGGGTGATGCTTGGGACAAGGGGATGCTCAAGTTGGGCTCACATGGGGTGATGCAGCATCTTGGAGGGGATGGGGGATGCTTGGGACAAGGGGAAGCCCAAGTTGGGAGAGGCAGGGGATTGTGCGATGCCGGGAAGATGATGCTTGGGATGTGGGGATGCCCAAGTTAGGACTTATATGGGATGATGTAGCACCTCGGAGGGTGATGCTCGGGGTTGGGGTGGTGCTTGGGCCATGGGGATGCTCAAGCTGGGAGGTGAAGGGGATGGTGCAATGCTTGGGACAAGGGGATGGCCAAGTTAGGACTTATATGGGATAATGGAGCACCTTGAAGGGTGATGCTCGGGGTCAGGGTGATGCTCGGGGTCAGGGTGATGCTCAGGACAAGGGGATGCTCAAGTTGGGCTCACATGGGGTGATGCAGCATCTTGAAGGGGGATGCTTGGGGTCAGGGTGATGTTCAGGACAAGGGGATGCTCAGGCTGGGACATGCATCACCCCATGTAGAATCTTGAAGGGTGATGCTCGGGGTTGGGGTTGATGCTTGGGATCAGGGTGATGCTCAGGACAAGGGGATGCCCACGTTGGGCTCACATGGGGTGATGCAGCACCTTGAAGGGTGATGCTTGGGGTCAGGGTGATGTTCAGGACAAGGGGATGCTCAGGCTGGGACTTGCATCACCCCATGTAGAACCTTGAAGGGTGATGTTCAGGGTTGGGGTTGATGCTCGGGGTCAGGGTGATGCTCAGGACAAGAGGATGCCCACGTTGGGCTCACATGGGGTGATGCAGCATCTTGGAGGGGGATGGGGGATGCTCAGGGTTTGAGGGGGATGCTCAGGACAAGGGGAACCCCAAATTGGGAGAGGCAGGGGGTTGTGTGATGCCATGAGGATGATTCTCGGGACAAAGGTGATGCTTGGGATGTGGGGATGCCCAAGTTGGGACTTACATGGGATGATGTAGCACCTTGGAGGGTGATGCTGGGGGTTGGGGTGATGGTTGGACCATGGGGATGCTCAAGCTGGGAGGTGAAGGGGATGGTGCAATGCTTTGGACAAGGGGATGCCCACGTTGGGATTTACATGGGATGATGTAGCACCTCGGAGGGTTGGGGCAAGGCTTGGGGTCAGGGTGATGCTCAGGATAAGAGGATGCTCAGGCTGGGACTTACATGGGGTGATGCAGCACCTTGAAGGGTGATGCTTGGAGTCAGGGTGATGTTCAGGACAAGGGGATGCTCAGGCTGGGACTTGCATCACCCCATGTAGAACCTTGAAGGGTGATGCTTGGGGTTGGGGTTGATGCTTGGGGTCAGGGTGATGCTCAGGACAAGGGGATGCTCAAGTTGGGCTCACATGGGGTGATGGAGCATCTTGAAGGGCAGTGCTTGGGGTCAGGGTGATGTTTGGGATGAGAGGATGCCCACGTTGGGTTCACATGGGGTGATGCAGCATCTTGGAGGGGGATGCTGAGCGTTGGGGGGGATGCCTGGGACAAGGGGAACCCCAAGTTGGGAGAGGATGCTCACGGTGGGGGCTGGCTCAGGCCGGGGTGATGCTCAGGGTGATGCCAGGGATGGGGGGAGATGCTCGTGACCGGGGCGATGCTCTTTTTGGTGGTGGGGTGGTTTGTTGATGCCAACCCTTTCTCCCCCCACCCCCCCCGGCAGCCTGAAGCGTGCCAGCGAGGAGAAGGAGCAGCG